CCTTAGAGACATTAGCCTGAGCACCTTATTAAGTTCTAATCGAAGGAAAATTTGCTGAAATTAAGGGCAAGTCGCGGTTGCAGACGGCAATGTTGTGCTCTCTGCACATTTTTCACTATACTTCTTTTAATATGCGGTATAATTGCAGCCATTGTGCTTACACAGGTTCTTAAGGCACCTAAGGTAAGTTCGTAATACTACCCTTATTGATTTCTCCAGATGAATGTTCTAGAATGCTCAAATATCATGGTTAGCACCAGAAATGTATCGCAATGGTCAAAATCAACCTGTTCGGATTAACATGAATGCTGAAGATGAGCAGGTGAGAACTCGTCCCTTTCAAATAGTGTAGAGAAAAATTTGATTTACTGATTGAATTTTTCTCTCTTCTACATTTTGTGATATTTGATGGTTACACTTCTTATCTGTTTAGGTACGATTACACCTGCAAGGTGCTATGCCATTTAAAGGAAACTACATCAGTTATTATGATTTCAAAACGGTAAGATTTGGTAGTTTATCTTGTTGAAGGGTTGAACCAATCACAGCGTTATGAGGCCACGCCCCTCAAATAGTGGCCAATAAGAGAGCGCATGAGGAAATAAGTGCTCAACAAGAAATTCATGTACCTCTTAAGATTTTAGGGGAATAGTCAAAATACAGTAAATTGAAAAAAAATATTCTAAAGATCATTTTTAGAATCGAGTGGCAGTAATTGACGAAAGCCTGAAGAGCAATGGAAAGTATTTGGCATGTTTTGTGATGCCGTTGGATCGATCGATGTTACGCGATGAGGAAGCGATGCGTAAGGCCATCGGAGTTGCAATGCATGTAAGCCGACGTTTACGCACCAAGGACCGGCTAAAATTGGTGACTGATTGTAGACAGCACATATCAGGTTGTAGTCACAAAAAGAAAACAATAAATTACGATTTTATTCTGTCGATCTTTCTGCGGGAACTAATGTGAAAGTTTAATGCAGTGGAGCTTTGTCAACTGATATTTGTTATCTACTAGTCAAACAAGTGCTCTATAGTTAACATATCGCTGTAGGTGCCCTGGAAACATTCTTGGCTTGATTCAACTGAATTGGGTAGGGGAGGGAAAAAGTAAGGGCTCAAGAAGTAAAAGATAATTTGATATGCTGGAACTTTACTAATTGAAGCTCTAACTCAAGTTCTAAACAATATTTAGCGCAACTCTCAAACCCAAGGATGGGCTGAGAGCTGGCAATACCTACCCGCTCCCGTAATGAATGGGCAACAGATGTTCAGTAAGCCAATCCCAGAATGTGAAGGAGCACGATGGGTTCAATTGGAGTATGCGGGAACAAATCAAAAGAGTTAGTCGAATATTTGGGACAGCGAAACCACTCCCAGAAAACCAACCGTTTACTTTTAGACCGCAAATGTTCGGATTGCTATGATTTCTGCTTGCCGGATTACGGTATTGAGCGCGATGCGGTGCGTGGAGAGGAGCAACTCAACATAGTAAAGCGTATCTGCTTCTATCTATTCGTACCCGAATGGCGCACGTACGCTCAGGCAAACACAATAGAGCAAGTACGTAAAATCACGTCAAATAGGTGGTCTTTTCTTAATGATGAGGACATTTGTTGTGTAACTGCAGAACCAGCGCGATTTCGAGACATACTACCGTAATCGTAATCATCTTACAACGGCTTTTGGTGGAAGTGGTAGCGATTCGAAATGGATCACACTTCAAGGATTACCGCGTAAGAAATTACTGGTGCATTTTATTTATTGATTGATTGTCGAGCTCATTATTGCAGAAACTATTCGGAACGTTACCGGGCAGTTAGCAGGACAGGTGGGCAACGCTGCCGCTGGAGTGGTAAACACCATAGGCGACGTCGCACAAGGAGTACGAGCCGGGGTGTTCGGACAGAATTTGCCTTCAGAATCAGGCTATCAGAGTGGAAATAGCAATGGATATAATTCACCAATGCAGTGAGTTAGATAATTAATATTGTGATTACCAGTCATGACTTTTGGGAACTTTTCAGCCATCAACTAAGTTTGGAATTCCTTGCTTTTCGTAATTTAGCTAGACGAGATTTCGGATGTACAAAATCATGGAAGATTAATTCTAGCCTTAAAATTCTATTTCTAAAAAGCTTTGTCCTATTTATGCCAAATCAACCCAAATCTGTTAAGCCCTGGTGCTTTCGCTCCTGCTTCAGCAGTCAATGGAGTAATGACCATGAATGGAGTGAATGGTCAAAGTGGAAGCAACGCCTACAATATGAATCCGGAGAGCATTGGTGTTGGGGTGCGTCTTTTCATTATTTGTTGATTTTTCTATTTATTGACGCAAATTGAGGGGTTAACGCAAAATAGTACGTAAACTTTTGCTTTGAGAACGAGACAACATGAGTTTTCTAGAATCAGAATAACGAAAAACGAACAAAATGTGGAGCTACGTTTGTTGGCTACTTGAATTACTATTAAACTACTGTTAATAGATGTTGTCTTATTTAAGTTGTTTATATGTATGGTAGTTTCTAGTTATTTAAAAGAAGTTCATTAACATCTTCTTCCTTTTCATATTAAAGCTCTTTCAGCTTATTTGTAGTGTATTAATTTTTGGTTTCATTAATCAATGAATTTTAAAAGCTGAACACCCGAATTAAGAACCTGCGCAACCATAGTTCTATTAAATCGTCTTACAAAGCATCTCCAGGCTCGTTAGACAGTCCTGTAGCAAATTTTTTCTAAGCGAGATTTTTCGTTTTCCTTTCCATTTCAAATATGAGCCATCTAGAAGTTTGAAGGATTCTCTAGAACTTCATTTATGTCAGGGCTATAACTTCAATGAAATTTCTGATGGATGAAATGCACCATGTTAAAGGCGGAGCTCAGCTATAAACGTAAAAATCGTCTTCATCTTACTTCGGCTCTTTCGATTGTTCTTTTCAGGCTTATGGAGGTTCTTCACAAAGCTTGTATCCAAATATGAATGGATATCCTCAGGATGGGGAAAGGTGGGTTAAGTCTAACTTTTTATTGCTCATTTTAAAGTCAGTACTATTTCGAAGATCATAAAGGCTAGAGAACTCAAACGTAGATTTTTTTTTTACTTTAAAACGTCTTGCAGTTTCTGCAGAAATCTCATCAAAATCAAAGTTTACATGGACCTTACGTAGATGAGCATAATTTTAA